TACTGTGTAGCCCTGTCTGGCCTGTAACTCACTGCACAGACCAGGTTGACCTTGAACTCACAGAGCTCCAGCTGCCTGTGCCTATTGAGTGCTGGGTTTAAAAGGGCATGCCACAGCACTTTCTTGTTTGTTTTTTGAGACAGGGTTTCTCTGTGTAACATCCCTGGCTGTCCTGGGTGGCACTTACTTTGTAGACCAGGCTGGCCTCAAGCTCACAGAGATCTATCTGCCTGCCTCTGATTCCTGAGTGCTGGGTTTAAAGGTGTGTGGCACTACCACCCAAACACAGTTGGGTTTTCTTTTTCTTTTTTTCTTTTTTTTTTTTTTTGCCACAGCACCTTTGAGATGGGGTTTTGTGCAGCTCAAGCTGACTTTGAATTCTTTTGGTCTCCTGTGCTGACATTACAGGGGTATGTCAATGTCACAGTCTTACCTGAGCCACCTCAATAGCTCCTTTCTCTAGTTTTTGTTTTGTTTTTCTTGGGACAGGGTTCTCTGTGTAGCTTTGAAGCCTGTCCTGGAACTTACCCTGTAGACCAAGCTGGCCTCGAACTCACAATGATCTGGGATTAAAGGCATGTGCCACCACCTGCCTGCTCATTTCTCTTCTTCTTCTTCTTCTTCTTCTTCTTCTTCTTCTTCTTCTTTTTTCCAGGCAGTGTTTCTCTGTGGCTTTGGAGGCTGTCCTGATTCGAGCTCATGTAGCCCAGGCTGGTCTCAACCGCACAGAGATCCTCCTGCCTCTGCTTCCGGAGTGCTGGGATTAAAGGCGTGCACCACCGCCCAGCTCTCTGGTTCTTGAGGCAGCCCTTTTCCAGATACTTTTGAGGAGGCTGGAAACCCCTCTGTAGGCTAAGCTGGCCTCTAACTTGAAGTGATCCTCCTGCCCCAACCTATAAGTGCGGGACTGAAGCTTCAGATCACATGCTTGGTAACTTTGATGAAGGAGCCAAGCAATCAGCTTATAGGTAGACCCACCCAGGGGGGGACAGGGACAGTGCAGGTGAGGGGAGGTGAGTTGTTGTGTGCAGGGGGCACAGGGAGGGGGCAGGTTTACAAAGGGCACCTGGTACTATTCCTAGTTTTCTAAGTAAGTAGGGAGCAGTCTTCTCTTGACTTCCCTAAATCCCAGGAAATGCAAATTCTAGGTCCGAGCATTCCCGGGAAATGCAGTCCGTGCAAATGACACAGAAGCTTCTCTGCACTTCTGCATTTGTGTGCTTGGCATGTTTCTGTCCATGCGGGGCTGCAGGTGAAGTGTGAACATGAGTGTGTTTGGAGGGCAGAGATTGATGGCAGTGTTTCCCTTAATCTTCCTCCTTATTTTTGTATTTTATTTGAGGCAGAGTCTCCTTGTGTAGCCTTGGCTCTCCATGTAGACCAGGCTGGCCTTGAATTCACAGAGGTCCACCTGCCTCTGTCTCCTGAGTGTTGGGGTGAATGGCGTGTGCCATCACACCTGGCTAAATTTATTTTTATTTTAAAAACATACGAACCTGGTTCCTGCTGAGATCCCAGTGGGGGTGGGGTGGGGGTCGGGGATAGGTGGGTGGGTGGGCAGACCCCTTTCCAGCCTCGTGTTTTTAGTCAGTTCACTTTACCTGCCCCTTTAAGGGCACCAGGGGCCCGGGTGAGCCTTCCTGACTCCCTGGCCAGGTGTGTTCCGCACTGCACCAGGGCTGCCGCCTTTAACCCCATTAGCAATTTCTCATTTTCTTCCCATGACGTTCTAAAAGTCCTTGACCCTTCACAGACCCTAGGCAGTCTAGATTTGTGACATTCCTGTCATTCTATTTCCAACCCTTAACATAGTGCCAGGGACTCAAATATTTCTTGAATGATCAGATCAGGTTCTGCCCCCACCTAATAGAAAAGACTTCCCTCAGCCTTCCACTGTCGTTTTAGGACCTGCTAGCACAGGTCTCCAGTGCAGTGGACAGCTCACTCCTCCACCCTGGGAACAGTGGTTCAAATACGGAGTAAGTGAATAGCGGCAGCCACCCTGGGAGCTCAGTGTCCTAGAGAGTGACTGAGGACACATTAGACACGATCCTTGTCCCTTCTCACCCCCCCCTTTTTTTTTGAATCTGGGTCTCACTATGTGCCACCTTCAAACCTCAGACTTAACAGCAATCCTCTCGCCTCTGCCTCCCAGTACTGGAATCACTGGAATGCGCTATCCTTGCCTAGTTTATTTTTCTTAATTAATTTTTGCCTTTTTTGTCATTGTTTAAATAATAATAATAATAATAATAATAATAATAATAATAATAAAATTGTCATTGTTTTTGAGGTAGGGTTTTGCTATGTAGCCCTGGCTGGCTGGCCTCAAACTTGCATTGATCCTCCTGCCTCTGCCTCCCAAGTGCTGGAATCACTGCCATGCACCACACTTGGCCATGTTTTGAAGGAAGACATTTATTTGAGGTTGAGTTGGGAACACACACCTATCACTGAAGCAATGGGGATGAGGAGGCAGAAGGATCCTAAGTTCCAGGGCAGCCTGGACTACGTAGTCAGACCCTGTCTCAAGGAAACAAAACCAGGGCTAGGGGTGTAGTTTAGCAGAAGAACACTGGCCTAGCATGTGCAAAGCTCTGGGTTCGATGCCCAGCACCCGAAACAGACATCTGGAGTCTATCTCTTATGAGGAACTGGAGTAGGCTCTCATTCTTCTGTGCCTCAGTTTCCTCCTCACTTTGGTGGGACTGCTCATGCCCATGGGGGCTTGGAGGGGGCCAGGAGGCAGGCAATGCAGGGGGACTGAGCACCGAGCAGGCACCTCCAGTGGGAAGAGCTGGCTGGGGACACTGGTCAGATGTCCACTGTCGGTTGGAAGGTGGCTTAACGGAAAGCAGCGTGGGGTTGGTCCCGTAACGTAACCACACACTAGCAACACCAGACTCTCATTTCTAGCGCCATTACGAGGCATTTGTGCTTGGGATATAAATTATAAATCTAAACACAGGCAGGGTTTACCCCCCCCCCCACCCAAAGCCAGATTCCCAGAAA